TCTCTCTCCCGCCCCAGCCCCTGTGCCTTGATTCCGCCTCCGGCTCTCCCGCCCCGGTCCCTGTGCCCTGGCTCCTTTCCCCTCCGCTGGGCTCTGAGCTCTCTCTCCCGCCCCGGTCCCTGTGCCCTGGCTCCTTTCCCCTCCGCTGGGCTCTGAGCTCTCTCTCCCGCCCCGGTCCCTGTGCCCTGGCTCCTTTCCCCTCCGCTGGGCTCTGAGCTCTCTCTCCCGCCCCGGTCCCTGTGCCCTGGCTCCTTTCCCCTCCGCTGGGCTCTGAGCTCTCTCTCCCGCCCCGGTCCCTGTGCCTTGGCTCCTTTCCCCTCGCTGGCTCTCGCGGCCGCTGGCACAGATTCCCTCCCCTGGCATTTCTGGGCCGGCAAACATCCTCTTGGAGCCATGGGCGTACCGAAAAGGATTCGGTCCTTTTCCAAGCTGCTTGTCAAACCTCTTTATGATCTCAGTGTTGTCCTAACTTGTCAGAGTTTATGATCTGTTTGCCTTGTTGCTGTACACACCTCCAAACTCCTTCTCTTTCTGGAGAATGCCTTGAAGCTTCTGCTGGCTAGAGGGAAATGGAGTATAACCACAACAAATGGTTTTTTGCTCAGTTTCTTTTTTTTTCTTTCCCCTTTTTATTCTCTTGTGAAAGCAGTATGCAGGATGTAGTGTCCACACCCCAGCATGCAAACACCTCTCTGTTTCACTCCCTTGGTTTTATTGAACCCTCCTGTTAGTGCAGTTATGCCTTGCAAATCAAATCCTGTTGGGAGGGCAGGAGACTGTGCTGATTGCAGGTGTTTGTTTAGAGCTTGTTTCTGCCAGAGTCTCCGAGGTAAGCACAGTGTTAAATGGCATTAAAACAATGTCCAGGGAAGTGTATCAGCCAAAGACTCGTGGCCCAATGAAGGGAGTCAAATCTTTTCCAACAGTGGTAAGGTGCTAAGAAAATCACTAAGGTGGTGTGGGTATGGTTAAGGATAATGTTATTTTAAGCTAGCAAAAGTAACTTGCACAGCCTGGAAGGCATTGAAAACATCTTCAAGCCTATCTCAATGAATAAATACTCCTAAGGGTTTCTTTATGAAAGCCTTTTGTATTCCTGCACATTCTAGTTTTCCTGGTTATGGTTTCAGTTGCTAGGTTGGAAAGTACTTAGCAGAGATTTAAAAAAAATACTGAGTTCTTGTAAGTAAAACTTTTTTATATTAGTAAAATCTTAATGTTAAATATTATCTGTGAAACTATAATGAAGTTCTTAATATCTTCCTTTCCCGTGTCTGCCTACAAAACTGCAAGAGCAAACTGAGCAGCTCCGGGACTGGAAGGAGAAACTTTGGTTGGAAGCACACCAGTGTCTCTGGAGTGGTACTCCCTGCTTCCAGTGGCCTCTGTGGTCACATCTGGGGATTTGGACACAGTAGACTGTGTTTTCTTTGGGATGCTGGGCAGTGGGAAATTGCTAGTTGACTGAGAAGCTTGCAGTATTCCATCAGGTGTGTTGGGCTTGTTCAGGGTAAATGATTGTGCTTTATTTCAAAGGTGTATGTGGCTTGTCAGTCGATGCTTATTGTCCTTGTGGGAGCTGTGCCTGAGTACCACATAGACCAAGAAGGAATTCCAGCGAGCAGAGCTGAGCTTTCCAAGCATGTCCATTTTGCCAGCAACTTCACATCTGTTGTGACTGAGGCAAGTACTTCTGTCCTGCACAGTCAGTGCTGCTCTTCGTGCGTTTGTGTCACTGGTGCAGGACGTGGTGCTTGGAAAAGCCAAGCAGGGCTTAGTGTAATGTTTTGCTTATGCTCCTAAAAATTCTTGGAATCTGTCTGTCTGGCTCTTTCATTTTATTTTTAAATCTGAAAGTGTATGATTGAATTCTTAGTGTAGCTTTCCTAGTGTAAATCTAACGCTTATTAGTTGAGGTTGAACTGTATGTTATTTATTTTATTTTCAGTTTTACCTTCAGCTGTTTTAGAAAGCCATTATTAATGAAGAATGATCATTTAATTGCAGTCTGTAACTCTAGAATTTAGGGTGAACTGGTCCTAACATCTGTTTTGTACCAAAAAACTGTTCAATTTGTTGTGTCTGCACAATCTGCTGTGCATGTAAGCTTTGCCACGCATTGCAGTAATTTCTCACAGAAGTTGCTCCTGAAAGGTTAAAACTAGTATGAAAGTGAAACTCATGCACTGCACATCTGGGTATTTTCACATGTGGTAAGAGTGGGAGGTTGAACAGACTGGAGTTTGCTGAGTGGGACAGAAGCTTTGACCCTTCATCCTCATACCTTGTGAATTCCAGGCCAGTGGATGTGCTTGCTTTTTCCTAGTCCCTGGGCTGGAATCATTCAGGCAAGCACAAGTGACCCAAGCATTGTTGCCAGTGCCAGAAAAAAAGGCTGTGTAGGTGGCTTGGGTGGTAGTGTGAACTCTCAGACTTCTGCTGGTGGAATTCCTGGTCCAGTTGTCGGCAAACTCTTACAAAAACCAGGTTAGCACTTGGTGTAGCTTGTGCCAAATTTTGTTTCCTTGCTGTTACCCCAGCTGTAACTGTGTGTTGTTTGTCTTGGAGAAATACAGCGATTGGACACAAGAAGGAATGATGCAATATTGAATCATATCCTCTGTCAGAAACAGGTTTTTTTGACTGGCCTGTTTTCCAAGATCACTCTTGAGTTTCAAACTCTCAGCAGGATGCCTGATATAGGGCAGTGCTTAATTTACTGTTAGAAATCATTAAATTTTAACTAACCCTGTGTTTTTAAATGTAGAAGTCAGTGTCCCTGTTTCCAAAATAGGTGGTAATTCTCAAGATTCATCCAAATAAATATATGTTAACATGCATTTTGGTAACATTATATTAAGATCTTTTAAAACCAATATTGTTAGTAGTCTTTTCATGGAATTTCTAGATACTGGCCAGCATTTTGCTGTATCTTAGTGGTCTAGTAACTAAATAAAACTGCCATGTGGATCTAAAGAGCTGTGATGATGTCTGTTTTGGTAATGGCAAAACTGGCAATGTTTTTGTTGGAAAGCCACAGTGAATTTTGAAAAATACTTAACAAGTTCAAGTTATGTTACGCACAGATCATGTGCTCAATAAGATGCTGAAATGCCAATGAGTAGTCAATAAGTACTTCTTAGCATTTTCATAAAACAAGGACATTTTTCCTTAATCCTTTTCCATAATCCTTTCCTGGTTCTCTTCAAGAGTTCAGTGTGTGTGTGGTGAGGAAGGGCACCAGGGATCACTCATGGTTCAGGAAGCAGCTGCACAGCATTAACCCTCTCAGTTCTGCAGTAGTGAATGTACATTATTCTTGTTAACAAAGGCATTTAATACCTGTTCATTGAAATAGCTATGTTGGTTCAGTGTTGAAATGGCTTAAGCTGTTAACACTTCTGGCTTTCCTTGTTTTAATAATGTAAGATAAGTTGCCTTGCTAAAGCTTGGGAATTGGAGTGCAACTAATTGCACTTACCAAGTTGAAAGATCTTAATGTATTACAGTTAAATTTCCTGAGGGAGAGGTGTTAGAGTCTGTTAGGGAAGAGAAAATGTCACTACTGTTGGCTTACCTGTTGAACTTTGAATCCAACTTCAATGGAATATAAACCAAGAAGTGGGAAAAGGCAAGAAGGCAGCAACTTGGTTTTCATACTTTTGATAAGGATGTGGTATTTGTTCTTTTTTTTTTTTTGGCAGTGGTACCTAATTGGACAAGAATCCTACAAAGTAAGCCTTGCATCATCCCTATTTTTTGCTGGATTGCTTCTTGGAAATATCACATTTGGCCCTTTGTCAGATAAACTGGGTAGGAAACCAGTGTATATCTCGGGTAAGATTTGTTAAAAGGGTTTTCTTAAGCATTCTGTGTGGATAACATAACCTCTTTTTCTTTCCTGCCCCTGGGCCTCCCTACCTGGAGGCTGCTCGTGGGTCACCTGTGCTGTCAGTGATCTGTGTAACTGTTCCACTCGCAGCAGAGCAGCACTGAAATTGGTTGGTGTGAGCGTGCTGAGCAGCACAGAGGTCATGGAATATCTGTGGGAAGTGAAAAAGAATCACAGAATTTAGGGGTTGGAATGGACCTTGCAGATCATCTAGTCCCAAGCCCTGCCCTGGGCAGGGACACCTCCTCACTAGATCAGGTTGCTCAAGGCTTCAAGAACCTGGTTTTGCCATGGCTATCACTATAGGAGCACAGTGTTTTTACACATTGCCTAACAATACTGTTCCCAATAGAAAAATAATCTGCCTTTTTTTGAAGGGTTTGGAGGAGAATGATTTACCTAAACATCTTTAAAGTGAGTTACTCCTGTTCTGTGTTGTGTTTCCCAGCTGTGTTTGCCACCCGAAGGTCTTATTTAATGAGAAGAGTGTCCCAAGGAAATGTCATCTTTGGTGTTGCAGCCCTCAAGTGTGTGACTTGAAAGTGATTTCCATTTTCATGTGGTGTGATTTCAGAAAGCCAAATGTGAGAGATTAGAGGGGAGCACTGCAGAGTACTGAGGACAGTCAGTAGCTGACTGTGGTCCCTGCTCTTCTTTGGAGTTCAAGCTCTGTAGCATAAGTACTAATCACATTTTATTCTGTCTCTGCAGGTCTGTTTTTTGATGTCATTTTTGGGTATGTCACAGCCTTAGCTCCAAGTTATGACGTATTTGCAGTTTCACGTTTTTTGGTTGGAATTGTGAATGGTGGAATGGCTCTTGTGTCTTTTGTCCTAACGCAAGAATATGTAGGAAAATCATTTTGGTCATTTACAGGTGGGATTTGGGAATATTTAATCATTGTTACTGTGGCAACTCTTGTTCCATCAATAACTTACATTCTGTGTTTGTACCAGGTTGAGTCAGTTGTAGCATCAATCAGATAAGTTTGATGTGATTGACCCAGGTTTTAATTTCTGTGGGAAAGGTGCCTGAATAAGGAAGATGATAGTTTGTTTGATAAGTAGCAAACCTCAGGTTTTAAAATTGGTGCATTAATTCCTAAAATGTCTCAATTTGTGCACTGGCTTGCATTATAAAGATAATACATGTTTTGGCAGATCCTGTGTGGTGCCTTGGGAAGGTATTCTTGGAAGTTTCTCTGCACCACAAAATGAGTTAGTGCCTGGATAGTGGTTTTTTCCACTGCTGAGTGTGCATCCAGTATTTTTAAATGTCCTTTTATGTATGCAATTGCCAAGATGTAAAAGAAGTTTAACACTTGCATGTCAGACAGTTGCAAAGCTGGAGTAGCTCAGGCTGCAGTGCTTTTCTGGCAAGCACAACGTGGGGGAAAAATATAATCCAAATGCTGATTTGCTGCAGCTGTAAGCATATGTTTCTCCCTCCTTTATTCAGTTGCTTCTCTTATTTTTCCTTTGGACTCCTGGGGGTGTATGAGAAAGTTGTGGCTTAGTTATCACCTTTCCCTTTTTTTAAAGTACCAAGTTTTCCTCTTCTCCTGAGTTGACTTCTCTGACTTATGCTTTCCCTTTCTCCCACCCTTCCTTCTCCCTTGCCCTGTTGTGTCTCTCTCCTGTTCCCAGCCCTTTCCCTTTAGGGCCAGCTTCCTGGTGGATGGAAGAGACAGCTCGTTTCCTGCTGCTTATTGCCCTAGGTGCTTTATTCTGCTCGGTGCTTGAGAAGGAGGGGCTGAGGAGAGGGAGCTGCATCCAGCAGCTGTTCTGCTGTTGGCCGTGAGCTGGGTTTTGTGGGCAATAGCTGAGAGTGTTTGGCTTTGCACAGGATATCCTGTTAGGCTGCAGAGAGTTTAAGGCTTTTAGAGTTCCAGTTGACCCTATCTTTTAAACATCTTTATTCATGCTTTTTTTAAATCAGAAATCTACTGTAATAAACCTCTGGATTGGCAGCTGGTCTTGTACTGAGCTCAGTCCTTGCACTTGCATAATCTATTTCAGTTTCTGCTCTAGCCTGCCCCTTCTATTCGGGATTACCCTAAATAAATCACTTGCTCTCAATGCTTCCACTTCTTGGCCTCAGGTTTGCTTTTTAGTCTGTAGGTTTCTGCTAATTTCTTGCTCTCTCCGATATCCCTCTTTTTAATTTTGAAAGGGGAAAAAAACCCCCCCCAACCCTCCCATACACTACACAAAGCTGTTCTTCATTGGGATTGCATAATATCTTTAAGGTAGCTGGTTCACAAGTGCTGCAAAGATAGCTCATAAAATACTATTTTATGTGGGTATATCATGGGCTAGGAATTTCAGGCTTCTGCTTAAGAAATTGTTTTGTTTTGCCAATGGTCTCTGTAGTCACTGGTTTGGTTTTGTGTTTTCAGGTTCGTTAACTAACTTGACCTTTGCAGTTGGCATTGCTGTTTATGCTTTGCTGGGTTACTGTGTCAGAGAGTGGCGCTACCTTGCCTTCCTATCCAATACTCCAGGAGTCTTCTTCCTCCTCCTTTCTTTGTAAGTGGTTCAGATGCAATATAATAATAAGAAAAAATATGCAAAAAATTAACATTTACTTGTCATCATTTGAGTAAGTGCTATAGGTGAGGATGACACTTTTCTGTAAGGTTTTATGAACCAAGCAAGAGAAAAATCATATTGTGAAGGAAGAAGGGTGTTAAGTGAAGCAGAAAGTCAGGGTTACCTGGTAGACAGGCCTGTGCTCCTGCATGTTGTGGCAGTTGTGGTGGACAGTGCTGCATAGAGCAGCTGTGTGCAAGCTGTCCAATAAAAACTCCATCACAAATCTGCTTGGGGAGGGGAAACCCTGCCAGAGATTGTGAGCTGGAGCCTCTGCCAGGAACATTGCCTTCTGCCAAAACAGAACTTCAGTGCTTGAGGAGTTCTGGAAGTCATCCTAGAGGGATTTTAGAGTTTATTTCCATGAGACACATGCATACAAAAGGAAATAAGTGAGAACTTGGAATTGCCTTTTTAGCGTGATAAGCTGTGTATCTTACTTGCTATTGAATCATAGAATCACAGAGTCAGCTGGGTTGGAAAAGACCTCCAAGATTGTCAGGTCCAACCCTACCGTGGTTACATCCAGTCTCTTCCTGAAAACCTCCAGAAGCAGTGAATCCACCACCTTCCTGGGCAGCACATTGCAATGCCTGAGCACTCCCTCTATAAAAAATCTCTTCCTAAGATCCAACCTAACCCTCCCCTGGCAGAGCTTGAGTCTGTGCCCTCTTGTCCTGCTGCTGGTTGCCTGGGAGCAGAGACCAACCCCCACCTGACTCCAACCTCCTGTCAGGGAGTTGCAGAGGGTGAGAAGGTCTCCCCTGAGCCTCCTCTTCTCCAGGCTGAACACCCCCAGCTCCCTCAGCCTCTCCTCATGGCACTTGTGCTCCAGTCCCTTCACCAGCCTGGAAGTTGATGTTCCTTGAGATTCCTTGTATCTCTTTCCAGCACTGTTGTGCTTGGGTCTCCTATTCAGAATTCTTGGACTGACATTTTCATAATAATGGTTATAAAATGCATCAGGATTTAAGGAATCAAGTGTTAGCTTTGTCTAGCCTGTGTTCTTAGAAAATGTTGCTTTGATATACCAAGTCATATGCCTTGTTACACTACTGATCACTGGTTAAAGCTGTAGAGGAAATAGAAGGATTAGTGTAGTAGGTTATCTGCACATTAGTACAAGGAATATCTAGCACAGAGCAAAGCCCTTCTGATTTCTGTTATTTTTTAGGTACTCTTGAAATAAGTTCTGTTAAAGAATACACTAAAAAAACCAAACCACCTCTCTTCCTGTAGTCAAGGAAAACAAAGCCTGTGGGCAGCAAGAAGTTCTGTATGATACATTTTCCTCTATAGTGTTCTGTTTCTGGTGGTGTAAAATTATTTCCCCACAAACTCTAAAAATACTGGGATCCTCTGAAGTAGTGGAAGTTGAGTTTGGTTGTAGGATGTATATCTCTGTTAAGGGTATCAAGAGTATCAGAGAAAGTAAAGGTTCACTTAAAAATATTCCGTTCCTTATTTTATGGCTTGTATGAAAACAGCAAGAGGGGAAAAAAGCCATGAATCATGAACTGAAGTTGTGGTAAGCAAGGAGATTCTGATTATACATGGGAGTAAGAGATTTAAAACTCATGTCAGCTGTGATGAGCTGGTACTGGAGCCTGACAGTTCACCAATAAAGGTTTCTTTTCTTTTCTGTCCACTTCAACTCAGAGCCCTTCCCATAATGGAGAAGCTTGACATGAGCTTTGTGAAAATAAAGTTTTGCCTGGGCTGCTCCGATAATGGAGGTTTGAGATGCTTCCTGGGCTGTGCTGGTGTAGCATTGCTTAAGAAGTCAGTTCAGCAGAAGTCAAGACTTAGATGGAAATCCATCTAACATGACTGAATGCTTTGTCAGGCATCTCCAATGCTCCTTCTGTAAGGTTAGCTGAATTATCACTGGGCTAGCTGGAACTGAATATGCAGAACAGAGCAAATAGAATGTTTTGCTCTCAATTTTGGTACTTTTTTCAAAATGGAAAGATTGACCTTAGCCCTGTCTTCATGGGAATGAACTTGTCCTTGCTGATTGTCTGTTCTCTCCTTTTAGTATGCTCCCAGAATCTCCACGGTGGCTGTATTCCCAAGGGAGAACGGCAGAAGCTGAAGATGTGTTGCAATATATTGCCCTTGGTAATGGAAAAGAGAGATTAAATCTAAAATTAAAACCAAGTGCAGGAACTTTGAGAAAGAATGAATCAGCACCTGGTGTTCTAAATTTAGTGACACACCCGGTCCTGCGGTGGCGAACCATCCTTCTCATGTACATCTGGTAGGTGATAACAGCTGAGGTGCTGGGAATGAGTCAGACATGGGGAAGTGATGAAATTTTTCAGCCTTTTCTCTTAAGAATTATGTCCTTAAAAAATAAATCATAAATTTGTCAGTTGATGGCAGAGAATAATCATCTGAAATTATGTATTGTAAGGTTGGCGTTTCATTATTGTTGCTGTTAGTGTTTTATTTTCAGTGTGTTCATAGAATTTAAGGGTTGGAATGGAGCTTACAGACCATCTAGTCCCAACCCCTGCCCTGGGCAGGGACACCTCCTCACTAGATCAGGTTGCTCAAGGCTCATCCAGCCGGGCCTTGAGTGCTGCCAGGGTTGGGGCAGCCACCACATCCCTGGGCAACCTGTGTTACTTAAAAACTCCCTCAAAACCTACTGACAAATAATCTGCTGAGAACATAATGTTTACCTTGAGGGAAATGAGAAGCAGAAATTACTGAGAGAATGTGTGTTTGAACCAGTCTTGGGAAGAAAAGGACTACGTGGATTAGGCTACTGTAGAGATCTGGATTAAGGAGAAATTATGTTATTATGTATTAAGGCCCGAAATTATGTTACATAGGTTCAGTGGAGGAAAGTTGTGAGCAGGATAAAATACAGATTGCATAGATTTATATTAGGTTCTGTCCTGAAAAGTGGTACAACTTGGGAAAGAAAAGACAAAAACATCATCCTGTGGGAGGATGTGATATGTTCTGAGAGCAATTAGCAGCAATGCAGGGGGAGCCCCTGTTGGGGGAGGCTGTTGGGTTGGTTGTTCTAGCAGCAGCTGTTGGACATTGGCTTGAGCTAAAATCTGTTGGAGGGGCAGCCCTTTTCCAAAATGCCAAGAACAAGTTCTCCTTTTAAAGTTCGGTGTCATTTGAGATGACTGTCAGGATGTAGATGGTAAAAATCGGTAGTTTGGTGTGTGTGCTAAGCAGAGATGTGCAGGACATGGGAGAAGCAGCAGGAACATCTGCTAAGGAGAACCTTTCCAGAAGCATCTCTTAAATTGCTGGTAGGTAAATCTAGGTAATTACAGTGGTGGCAAACTACACAAAGATGTTCTTACTTTCTGGAAAGAGAGGTCACAACACTGTGTTGCTGTCTGAAACCATGTTAAGCCATGGCACAGAACTCTTGGAGTGTGGTCACAAAGGATTGCTGTGCAGCAGGTAAGCAGCAGCTGCTTGCAGCTAAGCTTACTGGATTTGTGAATCAACCTAGGAAAAAAGCTAAGCTAATAGTAAATTCTGAAGGTTACACTGTGCATCTAGAAGAGCACTTGATTTTTTTTTCAGTAAGTTACTCTAATAAGTTAATCTTTGCCTTGTTTCCTTTCCCAGGGGAACCAAGAGTTTTCTCCCTACCGTGTAACTCAGTATAGCTAATCATTAACTTGGCATAAGTTATCTTTAAAATGCTTTTTTAGGCCTAAAGACTAGTTCTGCTAATAATATGGCTTGTCTGGTTATTTCTAGGTATGTCTGCAGCTTTGTGTACTATGGACTAACTTTAAATGCTGGTGAATTAAGAGGAAATCTGTATTTAAATGTGGCTCTTTCTGGTCTTGTAGAAGTTCCAGCGTTTCCTCTCTGCATGTTTTTTATTGAGAAATCCTGGTAAGAAAAACTTACTTCCTAGTTCTCTGCAGATATTTGTAGATAGCTTAGAAAAGTATTAACACTTTTCTGGGTAAGATACTTCACTGTTTTTCTAAACAGTGTTGGTTCTTTGGGGATTCACTCTGCTCCAGGGGTTTCTGTACTTGACACAGAAATGAGAGACAGATTTTCTACCTCTTCTGGTTTTTAGTTTTGTTCATACCTTGCATTACTCCAGAGATAAGCTTTTCACTGATTAAAAAGTTTGGTTGTTTTGGAAAAAAAGGTAATAGCTTAGTTATTTTAACTACCTCTAGGTTCTATCTTTCTCTTAGATATTTTATGCAGAATAACTTGGTTTTGTTGTGCCTAACAGCTGCAGTTTAAAGCAGTTTTCACCATTACTCATTTTTACTTAAACTTTTCAAAGAGAGCTCTGAAGTGAGAGCTGTTGAACTCGCATTAGAGCATGGGTGATCCCTGTCTGTGTATTTGCACTCTTTTCAGTGTATTCAGAGGCCTTTCTGTAGGCACGTTTTTCCAGAGGCCAGTCAGTCTGACAGCCCAGAGTTCTTCAGGGTTTCATGTAATCTTCACTTCCACTGTCTTTGCAATGATACTTTGGTCTCAGAGGTCAGTGACAAAAATCCCATTTTCTTCAGTCAGATAAGGACATCACCTTTGGGGTGTTTTGGGCAGTAAAAAACTGCCAGCTTGGTCAAGCTACAAAGGAAAACAAGCAGCCAATCTTCACCTCAAGCCCAGGAAACCTGAGTCAGACATGCATTTAAATCACAAACTGCACAAGTCCATTTTATTTCCTTGTAATTTGTCAAACTAATTGTAATTTTCAAGCATTGGTTTCCTGGAGTAAGGATATGTGTAGTTTTAGGTGCTGTGATGCAAAATAGAATGTGACAAGCCAGCTGCTCTGTTTTCATTCAGCTGTAGTGAGCAATATCCTGAAAGTATAACTTGCTTGTTGCAAAAATATTTGATATTTTAAAAACAAGTGTTGTGTGTTTGTTATAGATAAACTCTAGTTATACTAGTATGGGGTAGTGGTTAGAAGTAGCTGTGACAGTTCATAAGTAGCAAGCATGTGTAGTATTTCTACCTGCCTGGGAACTGTTACTGGGAATATCTGTACTTTGGGTCCTTTGCAAATAATTAAGAAATATTTAACTCTGGCAGATGTGGAGATGAGCTGGTGATTTTCTGTCTCTTTGGTTTTAAAGCACCAGGCAGCAGAAATAACCTTTGCTGATTTCTGTGTGTATCCTGTCAGACAAAACAGCATACAAGACATTTTACAGTATGGCATAACTGCACATATTTATGCCAAGTTATAAAAGAGAAATCGTAGAATTTAGGTGTTGGAATGACCTTACAGTTCATCTAGTCCCAACTACCTGACATTGGCAGGGACACCTCCTCACTAGATCAGGTTGCTCAAGGCTCATCCAGCCTGGCCTTGAACACTGCCAGGGTTGGGGCAGCCACCACATCCCTGGGCAACCTGGGACAGTGTCTCACCACCCTCACAGGGAAAAACCTCATTCTGACATCCAGCCTAGACTTCCCCTCCTTCAGTTTGAATCCATTGCCCTTTGTCCTGTCACTGCAGTTCCTAACACAGAGTCCCTCTCCAGCTCCTTGTAGGCCCTTCAGATATTGAAAAGTTGCTCTGAGGTCTCCACACAGTCTTCTCTTCTCCAGGCTGAACAGCCTCAACTCCCTCAGCCTGTCCTCATAGGGAGATGCTCCAGTCCTCTTAGCAACTTTGTGGTCTCCTCTGGACCTGCTCCTATAGTTCCATGTCCTTCTGATGTTGAGGACACCAGAACTGTGTGCAGTGTTCCAGGTGGGTCTCAAGAGAGCAGAGGGGAAGAATCAGCTCTTTTGACCTGCTGCCCACACTCCTTTTGATACATACAGATTACAATACAGATTATGAAGCACTAAAACCACGTTTTCTTGAGCACTTAATTTGGTTTTTGTGTGTATGCACTGCAGTAGTTGTTTAGTGACAGGGCCCATTGCCTTGCTCAGTTGGGAGAACAGAAAAGTCCACGTTCTTGTTGCTCAAGTAGGTGAGTTCTTCTCAAGGCTACAAATTCCGTAGCTTAAAAGTGAGAAGTGAGCTAGAAATAGGAAAGCCTTTGTGGGAGGATTTCAATGCACAGACCTAGGGAAGTAATACAAGATTTGAACACTTAGCAAGGTACAATAGATTTATAACTGTTCTCATGCCACTGTGTACTTTAGTACTTAGCTCTTTTACAGACAAACTGAAAACACTGAAGGACTTTGTTTCCATCTTTACCTGGGTGCTCTTTTCCTTCTAGGTCTGGAAGACGTAAAACTATGGCATGTTTTCTGATACTTGCAGGATTTGCCTGCATGTTTACCATGCTTTTACCAATGAATGCTGGTAAGTATGTGCTGCTGCTCAAGTAGAAGTTTGTTAGTTTGGATAGAAGCTGACAAAGCAACTTAATGGATATTTGGTGACTGAGTACATGAGGGCCTAAAGGCCTATCAGTTCATACCCTGCTCTCTTTTCAGGGCTGGTCAGAGTCTTGCCTAGATTTCTTTTAACTTCTTGCAGGCATAATTTGACCCTGTTAATTGACTAAGTTTGTCTGACTGTAAGCCCTTTACTCTTTGAAGGCCAGCTGGAGCTCTCACATTCTGTCTCAAGAACTGACACTGCATTCAAGTCACTAAAAGCTTTACAAAAAATAATTTTGTACTTGAAAATTGAGATGAAAATGGGAATTGCAGTATGGAAGCCCTAGAGATGGCAAGAAACTTGCTGCCTCTGTCAGTCTCAGCTGTGTCTTGCTGTGTTATGCAGTTGTGAGGACAGTTTGTGGTAACAGTGGAGTATCCTGAAGTATACAGGATACTGAAGGGCACAGGCTCAAGCTCTGCCAGGGAAGGCTTAAGTTAGATATTAGGAAGAGATTTTTTACAGAGAGAGTGCTCAGGCATTGGAATGTGCTGCCCAGGGAGGTGGTGGATTCACCATCCCTGGAGGTTTTCAAGCTGAGACTGGATGTGGCACTTAGTGCCATGGTCTAGTGACCACAGTAGGGTTGGACTTGATGATCTTGAAGGTCTTTTCCAACCCAGTTCATTCTATAAAAGAAAATCACCAGCTCATCTCCACACCTGCCACACTTAAATATTTCTTAATTATTTGCAAAGGCCCAAAAGTACAGATAGTCTCAGTAACAGTGCACTTTAAATCCAAAGCATCCGAGTCATAATTTCTCCATCTAGACAGACTTTGTTCTGTTTTGATAGTAAACCCAATATTTCCCATGTGCACTGATGCTACATTGCTAATACATGGATATGCAGTGTTCAATTTATATTCTTCCTGGGAGAGGAACAGCAAGTTTTAAAACACAGTTGAGAATTATGAATGTCTCCATTGCCTCAAGTTTGCTTAGTGAATAAAAGTGGCTGTCCCAGCTTTCTGACTGCACCCAGCAGGGCCAGGAGGACCAGGTTCACACCTTTCCATCTGGCAAGTGTATGTAATATTCCAGTTCTTCCTGAACAAAAGGTGGACTTGGATGAAAATGTTGTATCTGTTTTGCATGAATTATAGAAATAACTGCAAAAACCACATCACACTTGAAGAAATCAAATCAAGGTTCTGGATCTCAGTTTACATACAGATGAATTTCTTCTTCAGTTGAAACAGAATCTGACTTGATCAGATGAATTGGACTGAAAATACAAAGGGCAAAACTAAAAGAAAAAGTAATTGAGAAGCTGTCAGACTTTCCCATTACCTCCTGAATATCATTTGATCCAAACTGGAACATGCTGAACTCAGTGCTGAGGAAGAGAACCTGAAATGCAGCAAATCAGAGCATTCATTATTTTTCCTGCTAAAAATGTTATCTCTTTATTAAATCAGATGGTGCAAACATAACCAAAGTCACATTAAAGCCAGGTTTCTTTGGGACTTTAAAAGACACACACCTCAGTTTAGCCAGCTAAACTCTGTCTGTCAGTAAACTGGGCTGCGTTGGCATTTGTTGTTTCCAATTACAGAGCTGTCCCAACAGCCTGTCCTTGGCAGCAAAGGAACTGTTGAGGTCAATCAACAGTTCCATAAATGAGTCAAGGAAGTTATGTTGTCTGTGCTTATCTAAAGACACAGTTACCTGGTAAGATGTTCTGTCTGCAGAGCTGGAAGTGTTAGCCCTTCCATTTAGACTTGAGATAGTTTTATACATACAAGAAAACAATAAGGGTCAGATTTTCTTTGTCCTAAATACAGTTTTATCTACCTGTTCTTAGCTAGCTTAAGACCCTACAGTGGTTGGGAAAAGCTGCAATGCTGCTTTTGTGCTTGTAGGTGAAAAAGGTATGGATTAAACATTGGGTTTGTGTTTGTCTCTTAAAGAGGGTTGGATATTTGTGTAGAAAAAGAGTAAGAAAAGAGGCTGTTTATGCTTACAGCTTGTTTTATTTTTCCCTAAAGGTCTCCTCCTTGGTTCCACTTCATTAGCTCTGTGTGGAAAAATGATGGTCAGTGCTGCTTTCAATATCCTGTATATTTATACATCTGAGCTGTACCCAACAGTACTGAGGTAATTTAGCAGAGCTTCTGGATAACTGAAATGTTGTTCATGTGCAGTGACACTGATTGCTGGTGTTGCTTTAGTAGCTGTCTGTAATTAGGGGCTCGAAAGGACTTCTCCTGGTAGTCACATGTGTTGCACCAATGCACTTTGCCAGGCTGTTTGGGACACCTTGCTCTGGGTCTGGATCCAGAAGAAAACCATGAAAACAGACTTCTTGTGCTGCAGTGCTAGGTGCACCATTTCTCATTTCTGTTGATTTTTGGGAGTAAAACACAGGGTGCAAACCCAAACGTAATGTTGTGTTGGAATTGTGTGCTAACTTAGTTATAAATGTAGACTGTGCAGTGAGGACTATTTACAGTCTTTGTGTAAACTTACATCACTCATAGGATTAGATTTGTTTGCCTGCTGGAAAACAAGTGCTTTTCCATGTCTTTGTGGCTTATTTAAATATTCATGATACCACTTATTTTAATAGTATCTGTATGACAGTGATTTGATTTACACCATTCATGAACAAGTGGGCTAAAACCTTAATTTATGTTTCACAGTTCTTACCAACTGTCTGTGAGGTTACTCTCCTGTTGAGATAGGAAAATATGATACACAATCTTGTTCTTTTCACCCCCATCTTGGTTCCGCATGATTTTCCAAATGGTGCTCTAAGTTCAGAATTTGAACCATATTGCACAAGCTGATGAAGAATAGTAACTGCAAATCTACTGGAAAAATTGGGCCCACTTTAGGGAGAGTGGGCAAGTGGAAAAGCTGATGGGGAGTACAAAGGTGTGCTGGCTGGTGTAGTGGGGATGGTGACACAAATCCCTTGAGTCCATGACATTGAGGACTTCTGGCATAAGGTTTTGGAGTTTTTGGGGGGTTTTGTTTTGGTTTGTTTGTTTTGGATTTTTGGGGAGTTTTTTGTTTAGAAAGTGACTCCTTGGACTTGCTTTTTTGGGGGCTTTTTTTTGGTTTTTTCCTAGTGATGTTCACAAATTGCCCTGTATCATGGAGGCATGAGAGCTGTGAGTGCAGCTTTTGCAGTAACCCTAGTGAGGATGGAGGGGGAGTGACTGTCTCTAGGTACTGAGATGGTGATCCTTGGCACAGATTTAGATCTGTTGGATCCTATTGGGATCATTCTGGGAGCACACTGAGGGTGACTGGGAGTGACTGTGAGAAAGTGAGATCCTGCTGGAAGCAGCTGGGCATCACTGGAGCATTCTGGGTGTGACTGGGCTCATAGTGGGAGCAACTGGGAACACGCTGAGGGTGACCTGGGAATGGCTGTGAGCAAGAGGGATGTTGCTGGAAGCATCTTGGAGCTACTGTGAGTGACTGGGAGCATGCTGAGGCCGGCTGCATTATACTGGGAGAGACTGGGAATGACTGGGGTTCTGTTGGGAGTGCCTGGGAGTGCCTGGGTTCATCCTGGGACTGACTGAAACCATAATTGGGGTGACTGGGAATAACTGGAACCTCGCAGCTGGGCAACTGGGATCCTACTGGGAGTGACTAGGATCATACTGGGATTGACTGGGCTCATACTGGAAATGACAGGGGTAATGCTGTGAGCATGCTGGGAGTGATTGGAAGCTACTGGGAGTGACTGGGAACAATTGGAATGATGCTGTGATCATAGTGATAGGATACTGGTAGTGACTGGGATATTGGAACGCTCCTGGGAGTGATCTGAACGATCCTGGAGGTGACTGGGAATGAGTGGGCCCATACTGGGAGTGCCTGCTGAAGAGCTGGAAGGTGCTGGTACTTTTAATTGCAAATATTGTAGTTTCTGCAAGAGTTGGTGATGGGAGAGTGTTAAAGTTTAAGCAAGACACCAGCACCATCTCGTGGTGTCTGCAGAGCTTTGTGCTGCTCCTGGCCTGGCTCTGGCATGCCATGGGATGAGACTTGTGCATTCAAAGGCAGAGGACATTGGATAACTGCTATTTTGTTGTTTGGGGTTTTTTTCCCCAGTTGGATGTTTTGCAGAAAAATTAAATGTCTTCAGTATTGCTGCTCCTTATTTAAACCTACTTAATGTCTTATGCATGATGACTGTTAGGCATATATTTGAAGGTAACTGGTACATGCAGCAGTGGCAAATGCACCTCATCCTAGGAACAGGGAAGTGCTGCAAGCTGGGGAGTGTTTGTGCTTTGGGCTTTTTTCCTTTTTGATGGGTCATTAAAATACCTTCCGGGGAACACAAAGGTTGAAAATAGAAAACTTCACTGCCGTGGGTTTTGGACAAAGAGGAAGGTTGTCTTTGGGAACAAAGTGTAATCATAGCTCTAGTGATACAGATGTAAAAACAAACTTGTGGATTTCTTTTATGAGAAAATGGTTGCAAAATGGTGACATCCTTGTATGTCTTGGGTGAAGTCAGTGAGGCTATTTGTCTGCCTAGGATAGCATTTTTGCTTTTTGTCAGCAATTATTATGCTTTTTGATGATTTTCACGGCAAGAAAACTACTGTATTTTCACTTAATGTCAGTGGTGGTAGTTGAATTTGTACTTCTTTAAAATACTTGCCCTTTGGCTCTCTTTCCAAGGAGCTCTCTGTAATCCTTGTTGCTGGACAGCAGTTCTTGGTGAGTGCAGTGCAGTCACAGAGCTGTCAGTGCCAGCAGCAGAGAACCTTTTGTATTTGCATCTGTTGGTGCCATGTGGCATGTGGGATTTGCCAGGCAGCAGCAGCAGCAGGATTCCCTGGTTTGAGCCAAGTCCCAGACTGATGTGCTTACCTTGGTGGAGCTGTTTTGGCTGGCATGAGCTCAGCACTGCACACCATGGGGTGGAAGGAGGATGCACAGTCAGTCGAGTTTAGGAGGTCTCCAATGAGTAAAACTGGAGCAGTAAGGTATGACACATGGTTGGTGCTCAGCTATTGGCACTGCAGCACCTCAAGAAGAGTTTATGGGTTGATAGTGTGGTTTTCCTCTTGGATACCATGGTGTTGTTCTGTATAACTCAAACTCTGCTGAATTCTGAGTTAAAACTATCATAAAGTATTTTAACAACTTGCATTGGAATTGCAGTGGCACAATTTGCATTTAGGATCACCTTTGCCCTATTACCTCCATGCAGCAAAAAGTCAGCAAACCCCTGGGTATGGACACACTTGGGGGCTGTGAGGAGATGCTTCTGAAGGAATGGTCCACACAGACTGGTGTGTCTCACCTCTTCAGGGATTTTGTTGACAGGGGAGCTACTTGGCCTTGTCTTGTTGGGTTTGGGTCAATGTTGCCTCAATGTGAGGAAGCATGGGTTGCTATGCTCCTTTTCTCAAGAGGACCTGATGAGAGAAGAGGTTGCTTTATCTATTTGTTTTACACCAAAATTCTACAGCCAAACTGCACTGACTTCTCATCAGCTCCTTCCATTGCCTGTTTCCCTTCCCCTGTGCAAAGGCCATTAGGAAGGGGTGTGCAGGTGGGTGATGTGAACCATGTCACCTCTCTGCTTGTCATCTTAAATCCTGTCACTTCCTTCCTGTCTTTGGAGGAGGCAAAGAGTGGGCAGGAAGAGCTCAGCTCGGCAGTGAGATTGAGGGTGATAATGAGTGAGAAGCATCAGGAGACAGAGAACAGCCACCATGAGCTTGTTCTTGCTGTCTCACTGATGACTGGTGCCAGTGTCAGTCTCTGTATTTAGGAGTGATACAGAGGTGAAAGATTTCTGCATTTGAGCAGGAAATGAAAGACTGAGGACTTCTTAACTTTCTTGGGAGGGATCTTGCTGTTGGAAGCTGTGCTTTGCTTGCTACAGTCTGGATGACATTGTTCTAAATTTGCCTGAAAATTGAAGGGAGCGCAGAATTCAGCATCCCTGGTAGTCACACATCTGGCCAGATGCTTTAAAGCCTCCTGTCATCTCTGCACATTGAGGTGGCAGATGAGAGGCTGCTGCCTGAGCCTGCTTTGGCCTGAGCTGGGGACAGTATTCAGCATCTTCTGCCTGAAGGTCCTGCCGTGTTTTGATCCTGCCCCAGTCAGAACAGGGATGTCCAGTTAAATTGCCCTATATGGCAGGTTGGAAAAACTTTGTTCAAACTTTTGTGAAGGATTGCACAGTAGGGTGGTTTTGTCAGGGCTTGAAAGGGTGTGATTTTACCTTACTTACAGCCAGTTGAGCAAAATCTTTGGAGTAACTGCTTAAAAACTTGATTTAAATTAGAGACTACTGGTAACTTAAAAAAAATAAAAAATGTTGGCCCTGACAGTGTCACCACATGTTCATGCATGGTCCAGATGTGTATTCTGAAAGTACAAACCTTTCATGCTTTGTTTGAAACAGAAACGCTGGCCTTGGTGTCTGCACCATGTCTTGCAGATCTGGGGGCATTTTGGCTCCGTTTGTGCCATCCATGGTAAGATTGTTTTCAATGTTTGTATGTAACTCAGGTTTCTTAAATTCTTATAAAAGCACTTTGCTGATTTTGGTACAACATATGCCTGTATTACTTGGGAAAAGATTGGTTTTATGAAAAACTAAATAGTGTTCACTCAATTTCAAGAATTAATGAAAAAGACTTTTAAAAGTACCTTGTATTTTATTGGTGTTGGAAATAGTCTGATGTTCTGTGTTCTGGAACTGTTTCATCTGTTAGTGAAAGTGATTGTCATATAGTGCATTTGGCAGTGCTAAGGCTCACTCAGTATCTGAGTTCTCCTAGGCATTTAAACTGAGTTTTCATAGGAAGCTGTCTCTGTGAAATGACATTTTTTGGGTTTCTTTGCTTTACCAGTTTATGGATAATTGCACAAATTGCTGGAGTGATAAGCTGTAGTCTCTTGGTTTTGACCAAATTTTTTTGGTTCATGTGTTTTCAGAGCAGCAAACAATGCTGAGTTTTCACTATGGATCTTTAATTTTAGAAATCTCTTAGTCCTTCTGCACCGTTGGTGCTGTTTGGGATCAGTGGACTGTCAGCAGGATTCCTGACTCTCCTCCTGCCAGAAACACTAAACAAGCCAATTGCTGAGAGCATCGAAGATCTCCAGAGTCCCAGATACCAAGTGCTTCAAAACGTAGAGGCAGAGTAACTTATTTTTTTGCTTTCCTGTACTTTGTGTTATTTTCCCCTCTGTCTTATGCAAGGCATAACTGCCTGTGTTTTGGTGAGGTTGTGCATTAATGAACCTGTGGATGAAGTGTTCAAAACTTTCTCCTACATTCAGCAACATTCCTGTGCTTTTACAGTGCAACAGCCAAGCCTATTTTTCGTAGATCAGATTGTGCTTTTTTTGTCATGTTTGTCGTGGAACATCATTTACTCTTAATGTGTATCTGAGAAAGTGTTTTATCCCTCATTAGCCTTCTGGGTTAAAGCCATTTAAAGCATTTTCCTGTGGATGTGCACTAAATAAAACTTCTGAAGTGGGAAATGACAGTTCTGTTTGATTCAGTAGGTAATAGAAAAGTGTGAAGTGTATCCCCTAAGTTTGGGAATGGCTTCCCAGAAGAATGAGTTTTGAAAGGGAAGGGTGGGGGGGAATTTCTGTGGGAGGAATTATTAGCTTACACCTAAGCAAGCTTAGTGCAGAAGTAAAACAATATGTGGGGTTTCCTACATTTTTTCCTGATGTACCTGCTTGTTAATTATCTGGTAATTATTGCACTTAATCAGTGTAATCATACTACCCAGACTACTCTGCTTTCTTGTTGTACCTAATGCAGAGTAAAGCTGCATTCAGCTGAAATGGAGAAAAACCCCGAGAACAGCTTCTGAGCTTTTCATATATCATTTCACTTTTCATTTTTAAAAACCCAGTGAATTCTGGTTTTCACATTTAATATTAGCCTATAAAATAGGGCAAGAAAAATGAGACATGCAAAATGTTTTACAGTAATTATTTCTCTTCTCTCCGACAGGCAAACCAGTTAGAAGACAACATTTGAGTTTGAAGCCTGTCTGGTGGGAAATGAAGCCTCCACTGAGAAGGTTCTGTAACAGTTGAAGGGCAGAGTCTTGCTCTGTGTCTCTGACAGGAAACATTTCATGACTCATGTATAATGCTGTTTGTAGCATGTTGAACAGCTTTATGTGGAGGCAAATTGAGAAGATGGAAGATCAAAGCTTGTGAGAAAAGAGCTGACAAATCTGTGCATTACAAAAGCTGCTTTGTGGAGGTCTGGACTCCTCTGCAGCTCCTTCAAGTGAAGTATTAATTTATTTTACTAAATGTAATTTCTGTCTTCAGATGAAGCTATAATGTTGTAATAATGATGTGTATAATTTAAAATTTAGATGGCCTTAAATATTCTGTCAAGCTGGAATTGTAGAGAGGAGCAGCATCCTGTGTATGCTAATTTTCTCTACAGGTTTTTTGCCTCTAAATTGCAGAATATACCTCATGGTGTGAAGAGACCAAAGGCTTGTATGGGTTGTTGGGCTCATATATCTAATGTAAGAAACCTGAGCAGGAGATCTGAAAGGAGAATAAATGGATTCTGTTGTGAGAGCAGGCAAATCTTTGTTGTTCAGGAAAAGATGCATAAAGTGAAAAATAATACTGTAATCATAGAATCATAGAATTTAGG